GAAAGAAAAAAAGAAGGACTTCCTGGCAGTCCAGTGGTTAAGACTCTGCGTTTCCACTGCAAGGGACCTGGGCTTGATTCCTGGTCAGGGAACTAATATTCCCAAGCCAGAAAAAAAAAAATGAGCAATGCAAGGGAACCTTAGGGTGATGGAAATTTTCGGCATGCTGAAAGTACCATGTCAGTATCTTGGTTGTGACATTTAACTGTCATTTTGCAAGATACTGTCAGTGGGGGAAGCAAAGTAATCTCTCTGTATGTTTTCTTACAACTGCATGAGAATCTATAACTGTCTCAAAATAAAAAGTTTAATTTAAAAAGGTGAATTTTTAAAAAGTGGGAAAATAAAAAGTGTGCAAATCACAAGGGAAAAAAAAAAGCTGCAAAGCTCACATCTCACCCTTGGCTTAAGTCCCCAGTGGTGCTCTGTTCAGTGGACGTGGAGGAAAACCCCAGATGTGCACAATGCAGTCTGACTTTCTGCAGGGGGAGAAAGGCCCCATGCAGTCTGACTTCACCTCTCACAATTCTTCCTGTGTCCCTCCACTTCCAGCTGCACCAGCACATCAAGCACATTCCCATCAGGAACTCCGCTCCTTCAGGTTCCTGATCCCAGAGTGGAATGCTTTTGCTCCAGGCCTGTGTGTGGCTGGCAGCTTTTCCTCACTTAGGTGGTTGTTCACACACTACCTCCTCTGGGAGACTTTTCTTACCATCCTGTCTAGATTAGACCTTGCCTGTCCCACTCCCCAGAGACTACATCATTGTCCAAGATCATTTTTTTTTTTTCATAGCACTTATCTTGCTCTCACCCTCTTTTGCTGATTTATGTCCTTGCTTACTGTGGGTCTGCCCCTTCCCTGGACACAGTAAGCTCCAGGAGGATGAAGAACATCCCACCACTGCTATGGAGTGGATAAAGGTCCAGAAGAATTATGTCTGTGAGAAACGGCCAGAAGCTCTCTTTAAACAGATCTATTTTTAAACAATGACTGCATTGTTCTACTTCTAGGGAAATCTAGAGAAACTGAACTCTTTAGATATTTAAAGATAAAATTTAGAAGTGGGGACGGGACTTCGCTTGTGGTCCAGTGGCCAAGACTCCGTGCTCTCAAAGCAGGGGTCCCCCGGTCGATCCCGGGTCAGGGAAGTAGATCCCATATGCTGCAACGAAGATTGAAGATCCTGTGTGCAGCCACTAAGACCCGGTGCAGCCAAATAAATAAATGAATAGAAGTGGGAGCAAAAAAGCACATCTGCAACCAGATGTCAAGTAATATCTGACCAAGCACGCGTCAAAGATAGGGAGAAAGCATCTGCTTCACTTGACGTGATGACTGTGATTCTCCAAGTTGACTCCAAAATGGATTTATTAATATTTACAGGAATTCTATACTCTTGTTCACTACTCTGATAGAACCAGATGTTTGTTCACACAGAGCAGCAGACATGATCTGAACAGGAATTCGTTAGTGGAGAGAGCAGGAACAATGCGTTGCTACTCATGCCTTCCAAGAGGACACTTTCTGAGGGCAGAGCTTTGCAGCACTTTCTCAACTCTCTGAACTTCTCTGCCATCATCTCTCTCCAGACACCTTCTGACCAGAGGAACACCACTGTGCCTGGAGAATGCTTGACTTCACCCTGTAACCACCAGGAACTGATCACCTCTTTTTTGCCCTCTGTAGAACTGTGGCGCTGGGGAAGACGCTTGAGAGTCCCTTGGACTGCAAGATCAAACCAGTCAACTGTAAAGGAAATCAGTCCTGAATATTCATTGGAAGGACTGATGCTGAAGCTCCAATACTTTGACCACCTGATGCAAAGAACTGAATCATTGAAAAGACCCTGATGCTGGGAATGACTAAAGGCAGGAGGAGAAGGGGACGATGGAGGATGAGATGGTTGGATGGCATCACTGACTCGATGGACATGAGTTTGAGTAGGGTCCAGGAGTTGGTGACGGATAGGGAGGCCTGGTGTGCTGTGATTCACGGGGTCGCAAAGTGTGGGACACGACTGAGCAACTGAACTGAGTCAGTATTAATACCACATCTCCCAAAGTCCCTAAGTCTGTGAGTCTCCTTCTGTTTTGTCAGTTCATTTGGGTTATTTCTTCTTAGATTCCACATACAAGGGATGTAATATGGTATTTCTCCTTCTCTGAGTTACTTCACTCACTATGACTCTCTAGGTCCATCCACGTTGCCACAAATGACATTATTTCACTCTTTTTAATGGCTGAATAATATTCCATTGTATATATGTACCACATCTTCTTTATTCTTTCCTCTGTCAATGGACATTTAGGTTGCTTCCGTTTGGGGAAGGTCATGTACACACTGCTAGATTTAAAATGGATAACCAACAAAGACCTATTGTATAGCACAAGGAACTCTGCTTTATGTTATGTGGCAGCCTGGATGGGAGGGAGGTTTGGGGGATAATGGATACATGCACACGTATGGCTGAGACCCCTCGCTATTCACCCGAGACTACCACAATATTGTTAATTGGTTATACCTCAATGTGAAATGTTGTTTGTGTTAAAAAAAAATACCACAGTTCACCAGTAGGGGTTGCCATTGACCACCCCCATTCCCACCTCTCTCCCATTAGGGAAAACTTGACTTGAAAAAAAAATTTTTTTTTATTATTATTTCATGCAGTGAATATACTGGAGGAGGGCATGGCAACCCACTCCAGTACCCTTGCCTGGAGAATCCCATGAACAGAGGAGCCTGGCGGACTACAGTCCATAGGGGTGCAAAGAGTCAGACACAACTGAAGCGACTTAGCACACATGCACGCTGTGAATATACAATTTATTCGCCCATTCTATGTTAATGGGTATTGGGGGTGTTCCCAATTTTTTCCCATCACAAGTAACATTGCTATGGATACCCTTGTCGTGCATGTCGGCTCAGTCATGTCTGACTCTCTGTGATCTCATGGACTATAGCCTGCCAGGCTCTTCTGTTTATGGGATTATCCCAGCAAGAATACTGGAGTGGGTTACCATTTCCTTCTCTAGGGGATCTTTGCGACCCAAGGATCAAACCTGCATCTCCTGCAGCGACAGGTGGACTCTTTACAACTGAGCCACCTATTTAATACGGACACTCATATATATACGTTACAGACATAGATGGGCTTTCCTATTGGTCATACAGGGCAAACCTGACTCTTGAATGTGCCTTTTCCCAGACTGTCGTCTCCTGGCCATGAGTGCTCTTGCCCCATCCCTGGCTCCCTCTCCCCTCCAAGATCAGGACAGCTGGACACGGAGCAAGCTCTAGTACACGTGCATGAGTGTGGGCTAAGTCACTTCAGTCGTCTCCAACTCCGTGCGACCCCACGGACTGTAGCCTGCTGGGCTCCTCTGTCTGTGGCAGTCTCCAGGCAAGAATACTGGAGTGGGTTGCCATGCCCTCCTCCAGAGGATCTTCCCAACCCAGGGACTGAACCCACGTCTCTTAAGTCTCTTACATTGGCAGGTAGGTTTTTTACCACTAGTGCCACCTGGGAAGCCCGCTCTAGTCCACATCTCCTGCCAAAGGGCCCTCCCTCCTTTCTTTTAGGCTTCTAGCTACTGTTATCAGCTGCTGTTGGGTGCTCTTTGTGGGGGTGGGTAGTGGTTGAGTGGGACACAATGGGCCTGCAGGAGTGCTAGCAATGTTCTATTTCTTGGTCTGGATGCTGATCACACAGGTAAGTTTGCCTCGTGAAAATTCATTAGACTCCACAGCCACGAGCTGGGCACTTTTTTGATGTATGTCTTATTTCAAAATAAATTTACTTAAAAAATCCATAGGTTAGGTTTCCTTAATATACAGCATGCCTTAGTAATTTCTGGAATTCCCATTACAGCCCATAGAAGGAAAAAAAAAAACTAAACCCAAAACCAATTATAACACCAGACCCTGGGAACAGACCCAGCAATGTTTTTCACTAAGGTGGTCTCTTATGTAATTTCAGGGCTTATCTATTTATTTCTTTTCAAGCTGGGGGGATGGGTGAGGGCTGAGGGGCAGGGAGAGTTTGGTTTTTGAAATGCTTCCAGTGGGTTCTGCTCTTTGTGGCATTGCTGAGGTTCATTACCTGAGGCCTGGCACACCTGCTCCCATTCTGGGTCTAAGTAGAATCAGGCATATATCCAGCCCACAGGGGCCCCTGAGTCTCTGGTGCTAATGAGAGATGGGACCCACACTGGACTCCGGGCCAGGTGCTCCAGGGCTCAGAAATCAGCCAGATGTGTTGCCGTCCCTCACACCCTACAGAGAAGGCTGCTCCACACTCTCTTCCCTGCTCTGGCAGGGAAATCCATGCAGCCCTTTTGGTTCAGAGGCCTAATTCTCTGACACTTCACAGCCTCCACTGTCTTAGAAGGACGTGTTGTGAAGGGGTTGCAGCATTTTCCCGATGCTGGGAACGAAGTGTCAACAGGAACGCAGGGGCCCTTGAAGAATGGGTGAGTGAGCCTCAAGGGCTAGGCTCGTCCTGTCCTCAGACCTGAAAAGCCTTCTCGGGGTCTGGCTTTCCAGGGACCCCTGTGGGATCTGCATCCAAGGCGGCTACACCCATTTCCCTCTTCCCCTTGGATTCCCAATGTCCCATGCCCTACTGTTTGTCCAGGCCCGCCCTGGTCTCAGCATCTCAGTGACACCTTCCCCCAACCTTCCCACACTCCTCAGAGCCTTTGCCACCCAATTTAACACTGTTTCACAAGCCACCTCAGGCACCCTTGGGCTGTAGCATCCCCACTTTTGTGCAAGTTCCCTGGCCGGAAGCTATCCTTTACTTTGTCCCGTGTGCCCAAGTACCTGGGACAGGACAGGTGCTCAGCAGAGTGGCTGCCTTGCGAGTGGCCGCACAAGCAGCTGTAAGCAGCCAGGGTACGTGTGCACCAGACCAGTGACTGCAGGGTTCCCAGCCGAGGGGCAGGGGCGCCGAGATCAGAACCCCCCAGCTGTGCTCTCTGCCCACAGGAGCCCCTCGTACCTTGCTGGCCTTCAAGATCTCGAACATCAGGGGCAGGCCCTGGGTGACCAGCTCCTCCGTGTACTCCTCCTCTTGGATGGTCTTGAACTCCGTCAGCAGGCACTGAATGAGGGGCCTGCGGTGCTGCTGGAAGGCGATCCGCAAAGATTCCAGCCACGTGTGCAGGGTCCACGGGACACCTGGGGAGGGGAGGGCGGGGGAGAACAACCAGAGGAGAGGCGGGTTTTTACGGGGAAGCCGGCCTCTCCTGAGGGCAATACCAGATCAGGAGACCAAGAGAACGCCTTTCAGTGCCTAGAGTCAGAGCTGTTTTGTTTCTTCTTTCCCAAAGGCTCGCAGAAGTTAAAATTAAAGGTCATAATTCGAGTCCGTTAACTACGGGTATCCAGTTCTGCACGCTCCTCGTGTTATTAGGGGCTACAGTTTACAAAGTATAATCACCGTGTAGAGTACTGAAACTGTAATGCGGACTGCAGCCTTCTGAGTTCTGACCTCTTCCTTCCCCATCCCCTCTGCCTCCATGCCTAGAGCTTCGAGCTGGTGAAACCCACAGTGGACCTCACTGTCAGCTGCTCTGGCCAGGGTGGGCATTTCCATCTGAATATGAAGACACAGGAGGATACCGCTGCTGCATGCAAAACAACATTTCCACCTGCAGGCACTTCATCAGGTCTTCCTTCCTTAATAGAAACCTCTCCAGCAGCTGATGGCTGTGACTCGCTTCTCCCCCCTTACCGTGAGGCTGGGGCACTTGCTACTGTGCTGCACCATTCAGAGTCTTGAGCCTCAGAATCCAGCTACACAGGCTGCCAGGGGAATGGCATAAGATCCCCCATACTCAACAGCCACTCTCCGAGAGAGACAAGTTTCGAGAAGAGCACTGGAGGCCTCCGCCCACCCTGACCTGCCACACCCTGTGTTTGCAGCCCTTGCTCTGCCCTGCCCGCTGTTTCTCGGCCTGGGTTGGTCCCATTAGCTGGGTGGGCTGGGCTAGCCCGTTCCCCAGATGCATGGAAGAGATGGCCCTGGGCTAGGCTGCTCAAGGGAGACACACCCAACCTTTCCTTGGGCATGGCTTTGCCCCTGTAGTAGGGGAGCCCCACCAGGGACAGGATGCCCTCATCCTAGCTGATGCTAGCAGCTGCTTCACGGATCTGAGTGCTCTCAGGCAGCGATGCCCCAACCACTGGGAACCACCTGGGATGATTGTTAAACATAAAGATTTCCGGCCTTTATCCATCCAGACCCTCGACAGCAGAGCCTCTGGGTGTAGGGCCTGGCAATCTGCATTCAGACAAGCTCCCCAGGTGATTCGGATTCCTAACTCAGGGCCCAGGGTTTGGGAATCGTGGAAGGGTGGCCTGAGGATGGGTTTCCGGGGCCGGCAGAATGCTGCTGTCTGTGGGGACCATGTGGGGCCTTAGCCCAGAAGTGCTCTAACCAGCAAACAAGAAGTTCCCTGAGCTGCAAGGGGTGTGTGCACATGCATGCATGCATGTGTGTGTGTGTGTGTGTGTGTGCGTGCACGCGCATGTGCATACGTGAGCTGGAGCTGGGCAGAGGCACCGTGCCCAGCCGTGGAAGGCCCCCAGACTGACCTATGCTCCTGATATCAATTGTGACATCCACGTAGCCATGCTCAGCGCTGTGATACATGGCCTCCCTCAGGGCTCTGAGTTTGGCCTTGCTGTTGCGGCTGGCGCACAGGGGGGGCGGGGCTGTCTCCGCCAGGTCAGTCCCCTCGGCCAGAATCTCCTCCAGGGACAGGATATCACTCTTCTCCTTCTCTGGCTGAGCGAGCAGTTTGCGGAACACATTCCTGTCAATCATAAACCCAGAGAGGAAGACACTCAGAGATGCAAGGGCTGTGCCAGGGTGGGAGCAGGGCGGGGGATGTGGGGAACCCTCTCAGCTGGGGACAAAAGGACAGGACAACTCTGGGGTGGTGGTGTCGGAGGTGTGACCAGGGCACTACCTGTTGTGGCTGGAGGAGATGGCGGGGTGGGACTGGCTGCTTTTCCTTGAGGATGACTTGGGCTAAGTGTTTTCCCCAAATTATCTAGAAGGTTCTAGAACTCTGCCCTTTTAACAGTCTGCCTGCACGCCCCCCATGGTGAATTTGCTCCACTTGGGGTTACGCGTAGTAAAATCTGATGGGGGTAAATCCTGAAGGAAATGTAGGTGGGAAGTAACCAAACATGAGAGGTTTTATTATTCTTTAAATGGATTCTTCTCACTTCGTGACAGGTGATGTGATGAACTCTGACCAGCACTGGCAAAGAGTGATGTCTGTGAGACGAAAGCCGGTTGGGGAAGGACCCGTGGACGTGCAGAATGTGAAGCTGGCCAGGCCCGGACTGCCTCTGGGCCCCACATCCAGAGATGCAGTAAGTCTGGGGTAGGCCTGGGAATCTGCATTTTTAACAAGCACCACTTGGGACCTCATGGCCCATCCTAGCCTACCTGTGTCCATGGGCTGCGGCCTGGCTGAAAGAGTTCATATCACCCTGGGGGGTGGTAGAAATTCCATTCCTGTACATGGTTCCTATCAGGGGGTCCGCGCCTCGCTCCAACAGCAAACTAACCAGTTCAAAATTTCCTGCAAGCCCAGAGAAGGGGGTTTGATAAGAGAATCAAGCAAACACACAGTCACAGACAGATCAAGGGACAGGGTGCTGGAGCCGCTTGGCTGGGACGAGCGTCAGACTCTTACCTACGGCGGCTGCGAGCTGGAGGGGCGTTTCTGAGTAGTTCTCCTCACCATGCTCCAGAGAGCCCTCCACCTTGGCCCCGGCATCGAGGAGGAGCTGTGGAGGAAGAGTGGCTATTGAGATGCTCAAAGGACATGCCAGGAAAAGCTGGTGGGAAGCAGTGTGGTGCCAAAGTTCCTGCTCTCCTCTGGGTCCATGGCCACGTGCACAGGGGCAGGGAAACTGCACCGCAGAGGGTGAACTGAGAGCCTCTCACATCTCCTAGGACCTCAGGCCCCTCAAATCGCTCAAACTGTGGTCCACGGACAGCAGCATCAGCATCTCCTGGGAGTTTGTTTGAAATGCTGGTTCTCAGGCTCCACCCCAGAACAAATGATTAGAATCTGCATCTCAACAAGCTCTCCAGGTGATTTCTATGCACATTAACGTTTCTAGAAGCACTGAGCTAGAAGTTCGTGGCATCACACTGCTGGAGAACTTTCCCTGGAGATCAGTGACACAAAGCCTTAGAGTATTAGAGGGGTCTCTTAGAACCATAGAATCTTAAGAGTTCTGAAGGACTTTGGGGATCACTGGGCAAACCAGGACAATAATCCCTTCTGGAACATCCTAGAAACTCAGCTCAGCAAACGCTGAGCTTCCTGGCCAGTAAGATCAGTGAATAAAGTGGCAGAATGAGCTTCCAGGAGTGCTGCCACATATGACTCCATTCTGGCATTCTTTAAGATATCTGGGCTTCCTAAAAATGGAGATTCTGTCCATGCCGGATCTCCCAGTGAATGTGCTGTCAGCTCCGCTGATGTAAAATGAGGGGGAAATGCCTGTTTTACCTGCACAGGACTAGCTGAGGGCATAGTCAGGAGGGGCTGCCTACTTGGCATTCCATCACGTGTGCACCTGCAGCAGAGAGGTGATCTGACTTCCGTTTGGCTTTGCGTGGCTGCCCGCTGCTCCTATTCCTGATTTAAAGGCTGGGGATGCCACTGCACATTAAGAGATGTTATTTGTATCTGCTAGGCCACCCTCCAACCCCTTCTTTCTTAGATTCCTTTACTAGGAGTGGGCTGGTCATGATGTTCTACAGGCAGAAGTCAGATCTTGGTGTGACATGTCACACACTCAACCTCCTGAAACATGCCTTTGATGTGTGTTAAGGATTCCCATAACCTAGGAAAAAATAAAGGATTCCATGGAACTCCAGCATTGCTGAGGGGTCCCTGACATACTATTTTCTGCTCTGTGTAATTCTCAGAGGCTTGGACCACATAAAAGGAGGGGAGTTCCTGATGTACCTGAAACCCAGCATTCACTATGGGGCCAGATGTGGTTGAGGAACTGGGGGTGCCAATCTCTTTCTTCCAATGAAGTAAAATTTTAAGATCTAGAATGAACCGAGTTTAAGATCTAGAATATACTGGATGGCTATCCATTGAACACCAACTCTACAACAACCTGAAATGGTGAGGGCAAAACAACTTATGTGCCCAAAGGATCTTGGATGAGGACATGTCTCCATATTTGGGTATCTGTTTCAGAAGACACACATGAAGACCCTAGCCTAGACCTCTTATGTGGAATTCTCCGTAAGTGGGATCCAAGCCAAGTGTCATTTGGAACCACTCCCTTGGCTGCTTGGATGCTTCTTTCCACTGGTTGGAAACCCCTAGACTCTATGCAAACACTGGGGTCATACCTAAGGGAAGTTTCTAAGGCCTCACACCAGCCACATCTTAGGTTCACGTTATGATGAGTAAAAATGAACAAATCCACAAAATCATAGCTCAGGCCCCACCCTTGAGCAACTGGGAACAACTTGGTAGGTTTGCCATTCTGTGTGTAAGACTGCATGTAGGTATGTGATAAGTTCATATTGGTTAAAGCCAGGCCATATAGATCATTCCACATAGTATTTTCATTTATATGATATGAATGTGCCATATTTCATTGCAATTAACCAATATGAATCTCTGGGGGAATAGGCATGCCGGGAGAGGTATAGATTTGTGTAATGAAAGAGGTACAATTAAAGGTCAGATGTGGATAGGGAAATACGTTAATACCTGAACTACAGGAATATGTCCATGCAACACAGCAAAAGTCAGAGCCGTCCAATGGCGGGTCTCGGGGTGGACGGATGGATATTTATGAGGAGTACTGACAACCTATAAACAAATTGAAATTATTTTCAAAATGTGACCTTCACAATACTTAGACTAGCAAATCTGACCTATCTGTGGCTGGGCACGCGGGCTAGAGATGTACAGAAGGATGTCCTGGAAGGCGCCTTGGGCAATGCTGGAGACGGACAGGGTACTGACTTTTTATCCTTGTGCACAACAAAAACTCCTTTGCTGCTCATCAGAAGAGAGTTAAATGGGTGACTGCTGACTGCCTCTAAGGAGTCTTGAAGAAACTGTAAATGGTGGCTACAGACAACCAGCTCCCCTGCCCATCTCCTCTTCCTGCTTAAGGGAGGGCAGGGCTTCTGAGAGCTACAGGATGTCAGGTGAGGCCGCCACCATCACATCCATATCTTTAGGGGAAATTCTCAGCAGTGGCAAACCCCACACAAGGGGAGGTCTGCTTCGAGCTTCCAAGCCAAACAAGACCACCTCCCTTCTGATGGAGGAAGATCACCACCTGGTCACAGCTCCTCCCACACTGTCTTCATTTCATGCTTCTGCGGGCTTCCTGGTTGACGAGGACCCTCATGCTACTGGAAACCTAGGCACAAACCTTCCTTGGGCATGAATGAGAAATCTGATGGCCTTCCCACATGGGGACCTCAAAACACCCCAGACCAAGAGACAGGCTGCAGGACAGTGGACAGGACAAGTTAGGGTCCTGCAGGCTTGTCTGTCACTCACCCATGGCTTTTCTTCTAAACATTCCCGGGCCATTCAACTGTGATGTCTGCTGCTTTCAGAAGAGTTGAGTTCACTAATCACTGGCTAGGTGAGTTGGGAGCTATGGGATGGGCTAGAGGACCAGAGACCCAAAACTGAGGAGCTCTTGCAGGGATGTGCACGGTGCTTGGGGATTCATAGCAGGGAACAAAAATCCCCAATACTTGAAAACCTATAAGATCCCAAATGGTTTTAGATCCAAAACCATGTCTACTGCCTGTTTTCCTCAGATGAATATAAAGCACATTTTTTAAAAAGCACAGTACTAAGACTACAAGAGCATCTAATTTTGAACGAAAAAAAAAGTTTTCTGGAGTGGCTGAGTTAGGACTTCAGCAAGTCCATCAATCTTCCCAACTTCTGAACTGCTAGAAGAGAGTCAGTTGTTTTATGTTTCTTTTCTGTGAGAGGGGGTCTTAAGACAGCATAGAATATGGTCAAGAAGTATAATTTCACCTATCATAAGCCTTGAGGGGGGAACCAGTATTAACTGAATTCCCAACTGATGCTCCTCTATATTTATTTCTTCCAACAGCTCTCTGAGATGGGTTTGATTATTCTCCCATTTCAGAAAGGGGAACACTGTGGCTCAGAGGTGAAACTACTCGCCCAAGCAGAAAAGCAAGTTACTAAGATGCAGCAGTTTCAGAATTTGAACCCACATATCAAATTCTGAAGCCTGTGGGGGCACGCTTTCCACTATATCACACGGCCTTGAGGAAGCTCTGCAGTTAGCTTTAAGAACCGTGGCTTCAGCGAGCCAACCAAGTGGGCCAATCAGGATTCGGTGAGGGAGGGTGGAAGATCTGGGGGTCACAGGAGACATGGACCAGCTTTGTATTTGGCAGTGGGAAGGGCTGGTGGTTCAGGAGAGCTCTCTCTGCCAGATCCCAGGAGGAATGGATCAGTGGGAAGAATCAGAGACTCGGTATTGCTGAGCCAAGGGAAAAGTTAGAGCTCTGTGCAGCCGCATGGGTTGTTTTAAAATGAAAAATGCTTGTAGGCAGCTCCTTGGAGTCTGGTTGGGCTGGGGCTTCAGGATGGAGGAAATCCAACAGCTGGTCTGACCTATTTGCTGGACTGAGCACCCTCAGTGGTGGCTCTTGAGAGATAAAGCCCCCCCCCGCAACACACCTTTGCTCGCCTTCCCCGGGGACTGCCAGGCCCTGGGGCCCTGCAGCCCTCTGCACCCTCACCTCCACATTCAGGTCAGCTCCGGCATCCAGCAGCATCTGAACCATCGCCTCGTCCCCACGGACACAGGCGTACATCAGGGGGGTCATGCCCTGCGGTGAGTTAAAAACCAGAGAATGGAGAAGGTTTACAAGGTGGCTGTGTCACTCGACAATAACAAACGGAATATCTTACTCATGTGAAAGAGACTATGCTTGTTCTCCAAATCCAGCATTCTAAAGTAAATGTACAGCCCTACAATCCTCCATATTTTGAAAACCAACATGGAAGCAAGAAGGGAAACATAAAGTGTCTTTTTTTTTTTTCCATTTATCTGGGCTTAAGTTGGAGGATTTTGTTTGTGTGTCTTAGGGTGCAACAGATCCAAGAGTGTTTGCTAAAACAAGTGGCTGGTTTAACTGAAACCTCTTAGGAACTTTCTGGATTCTGTAATATCAGCCCTAAGCTATCTGATTGATAAATACTGTTTCCATGGCATTTTCTCTCTCAGGATTTAACAAGTGTCATCTTTGCTCATTATGGCCTGCTGGTCAGTGTCAAACAAAATTGGTGCCTCTGAGTATGACCCTAGCACTCTATCTGCTTTGACGTTATCATTTACAAGCAAAAGGCAAGCGAATGAGGAATGGTTTTCAGAATTCCATATTTGCCCATGATGCCTGCTTATTACAAAGTACTATAACCAACATAAGTAAGGGGTGGATTTTCAATAAACACTGCTGTGAAGAAAGCTATGTGGGAAAACGTTCAAGTTAGAGCCTTATCTCATACCATACACCAAATCATTTACAGTTTGATTAGAGATATAGAGAAAAAAATTAAAACCATAAAAGACATCTAACTGAATCTGTTTCTAAATCTGTTTCTAAAAAGTATAAAAGTAATGGAAGAAATCACAAAAGAAAGTCATGACATTGTGGACGTAAGATTGAATTCATAAGCAAAATTAAGAGGTAAACAATAAATTGAGACATATGTGTCACATTATAACAAAGGGTTATATGCCTAATATGTAAAGAGCTCTTTGAAATAAAGAAGAAAAGCAATTAAGCTCTAATGAAAACCAAGCAAAAGAAAGTAAAAGATTAATAGGGTACACATAAATAGTTGGAGAGTGTGTACAAGGAAACAGTCTCTGAGGAAGTAATCTGAGATTGGAGACCTTAAGATAAACTGATGCATTTGAGCAACTGTTCCCACTTTAAAAATTTTCTCTAATGAAATAATCAGATTTGAGCAAAGACTTAAGTAGATCTCTCTCAGTACTATTGATGTAAGTAATTAGAAACAATCCAACAACTGAACTATGTTTAACTGAACAAATATGACCACTTTGTTAGTTGCTCAGTTGTGTCTGACTCTTTGCGACCCCATGGACTGTAGCCCCCCAGGCTTCTCTGTCCATGGAATTTTCCGGGCAAGAACACTGGAATGCATAGGCATTTTCTTCTCCAGGAGATCTTCACGACCCAGGGATCGAACCCAGTTGGCCCGCATTGCAGGCAGATTCTTTACCATCTGAGCCAATGTATCCATTTGAAGTGATTTTAAAGAGAACATTTAATGATATTACAAAGTATCTTTAATATAAAATACTGAAAAAAAGAAAAGTACAATAAATGCCTGTTTTTTTTTTTTAATAGTGTGTGTGTGTGTATTAGGGCTCCATGGTGCTGCTCAAGAAAATTACTAGCTCATATCCCTTCCCTGGAACTTGCTGCATGAGCTGCTCATGTGAGAAACAGCTCCATCTGTCTTGTGATTTTCCATCTGGGGCTAACATTGAAAGCTGCTGTTTGTTTTCTCCACCCGTGACATCTTCACCCACATGGGGACATCTCCCCAGTAGACACACAAGCTCTCTGGACCTCACTCTAAGGGTTGGGAGATGGCTGACTAATTCTGAGGCGTCTCCTAGGGTCCTTCAGAATGACTTTTGTGTATCTTAAACATATCCTGAAAGTTTGGTGAAAATCTGCTTGGATTAGTTCCATGATGCACTAACAGGCCAGCAGAGAACTAATTTTAACCATGCCGGAAAAAGGGCTTGAAGGACACATGCTAAATATAAATGATAGTTATTTGGATGATGGCATTATTTCCTTTCTGGAATAAGTCTATTTTTCTCTATTTTCCATTTCAGCTGCAATGATCACGTGAAACTTCTATAAAGATGAACAAGGATACTTTTACAAGATATTTAAAAAACTTAAAAAAAAAAAAAAAAACTAAGGGAAAAAACCACCACCACCACCAAAATCACCCCACATCGCCAGTAGAGGGAGCTTCTATTGAGTGCCTGCTGCTTCCCTCGCCCTAGGGCAGGTCACCTGGTGGAGGCTCTTCAGACACTGCAGAGCCCCGTACCTGTTCGCTCATGGTGTTGATCCCGTCGGGCCCCAGAAGAGACACTGCCTGCTTCACCAGGTCCGTCCGCCCACAGTTCAGCATCCGGAAGCCCAGGTCCTGCTTAAACTTGGCTTCGATGGCCACTGCGTCCAGCTTCCGAGAAGCGCAAAAGCAGTCGTCGGCCCTGAGGAAGGAAGAGATGGTCAGTTGGATGCAGCGGCTTCACCAGGGGCTGGTCCTTGGAGAGCACAGATCAGGAAGCACCAAGGAGACTTCTCATTTGCTGCCCATGTTAATTGCTCATTTCTAGGCTCCAGCTCCTGGATAAGGGCACAGCAACTCACTCCTGTATTCTTGCTTGGAGAAACCCACAGAGAGAAGAGCCCGGCAGGCTACAGGCCATGGGGCGCAGAGAGTCAGACACAACTGAAGCGGCTTAGCACACACACCCAGGCTCCAGTTAGAATACGGGTATCTCTTGATCCTTCCTCCTTTGTAACTGATGCTTAGCCTTGTCCCTCCTCCACTCCCACAGCATACTGAGCTAAGAATAATTGTGGCTAATATGTACTGCTTGTATACTCTGGGCTAGGCTCTCTGGTATAGTCTTTACGTGAGTTAGTTTGATTACTCCCCACATAACCCCAAAAGGTAAGTACTATCATCACCCGCGCCTTTAACCATGGGAAACAGACACAGATATGGGACTCACCCAAGGCTACATAGCCGACAACCAGTGGAACTGGGATGCAAGCCCAGGGCAGTCTGTGGAGAGCTGGCCTGGGTACCTACTCTGTCACCCTGTCCCCTCATCACAGCTCATACTAATTTGCCTCTTTCCTTGTCTAAATTCTCCTCCAGGCTGGGGACTTTTGAGAGCAGAGACCCTGTCTAACAAGTCTCTGCATCCAGTCCAGACAGCACACAGTATGTGAAGGTGTTAAAAATGTTAGCTGAATGGACACAGAAGGCCTGGAGTCGCTACTTCCAAAGTGGAAGCATGGCAGAGATGTGGCAAGATGAAGTGAGTCCTAGTGGCAATATGCATCAGAAAGTAATTGAGCCAGCGAGGCACAGGGAGCCAGGTTAGGGAAGTGTAGGGAGGAGAATCAGGGATTCAAGGAAGGGGTACAAATTCTACTCGTAAAGGATGTCACCGCCTCCTCATGGTGAATTATCAGATCAAATGACCAAGCATTCACTGAGTACCTGTTTGCAAGAGGGGCACAAGGCCCGGAAGGGCAGAGGGCACAGGCCCTGGTCACGGGGCTGCCCCGTGGCAACTGCAGTGACTGGTGATCAGAGACGCGCACCAAACAGAACTGAGGGGATCCAGCAAGGCTTCCTGGGGGAGGTGCACCCTGAGATGTGTCTTAAATAAGGAGAGAGAAGGACAGAGTGTAGGAGAAGCTGGAGCAGGGCTTGTCCGAGTAAAGCTGTGCACATGAGATGTGGTGGGCTACAGGAGCGAACTGGAGGTTTTAGTGTTTATGAAGCATTAACTTTCAGGCAGAGGGCCAGGAGCTGAGGGGGGGGGCACTTTACTTAATCCTAAGACTATCCTTAAGAGCCACTGAAGGTTTCTAAGCAGGCACGGGAGTGATATGGTTGGAGGGCCAACTCTGGGAGACAGTGGAGGATGAATTTGAGGGGAGCTGGCCCTAGAGGTGGAGAGATGTGTTAGTGCTTAAAAGAACCAGCTGGATGGAAAGAAGTCACTACTCAAGCAGGAAGTGACAGAGGCTGAATGCAGGCTGGGAGGAGCAGAGGACGAGGGTTTTGTCTTCTCTATGAGCAGGCACCCATTTCTCAGATGATGGCCCTTGTCCCGAGGCTGGTGAATTCCATGCCCTGCATCAGCGGGAGTCAGCACTGGCACGGACCCCTTCATATTCCCGCTCCTTGCTGATTCTGGGGGCGGATACTCAGGAAAAGAGCCAGGGGTTCAGAATTCCTGGGTCTAGTCCTGCCTCTCACTAACCCACTTTGTGGCAAGAGGAATGGTTAAGTTTGCCAGGAACTTCCATTTTTATTCCTGGGGGAGATGAGAGGAAGTATTGCTCTGAGAGTTTATGGCACCAAGGCTCCTCAGTAGGGCTAGGACCTGGGGGAAAGAACCTGGGGGATGAAGAGCAGAGGGAATCTTAGGAATCGAGTGAGATGGGTGTGCCCTTGACCTTTCACCGGGTTCCTGATCTATCACTCATTTCAGCTGGCAAAGGAACCTTGGAGGAAGGCTGTCCTGAAATAGGAACCCAGTCATAGGTGATGGTAGGGCTCTTAGAGGACACTAGGAGTTTGCGTCTGGCCACCAGAGGGAGCTGATGCAGTGAAGATGGAATCCAGAGAAAGGAAGCGAGGAGTTGACCCGGGGTCTAATCTGCACACAGGCCTCAGGGACTGGGCATCACGCCAGGCCTCCAAGGGCCTGTTTGTACGAGAGCCCTGGGAAGAACTAAGAAAGGTATTGGACTTGGACCCAGACTCTGGACTCCAAGATTAAGACTGTTTCATGGCAGGTGGGGGAGCCTAGACCACCCTGGTTGGAAGACTTTCCAGGGAAGCCCGAGAGCTCCCCAGGTGTGAGTGAGCGAGCGCTGAAGATGCCAGGTCTGGCTTTAGGCCAGGGCATCAGCACCCACGATGAGAAATTCTAGGGCACAGAATGGGGCTGTGTGCTAGGGTGTCTTAGTCCACTTCATGGGAATTTGGACCTGGGATTCTTACAGCTAACGTGGCCAGATTCAGCAAATAAAAATACTCTCACAAATACTGAGCTTTAAAAAACTGAACTTTAAAAAAAAATCTGGGCAAGGGTAGAGCCACGTGCCATGGTTTGAAAAGAACAGGAAATGAGATCATGGGCCCCACCGAAGTATAGACAGAGGGAGGGGTGATGCTTGGTGTGGCAGTGGGCTTTATCTAAGGGACACATGTTCCCCACACATAGATTAAAGGCAGACGCTTTGGACAAAATGAAAGGACAGAGAGAAGAGGGCTAGATCCTGGGGCACACATCACAGAAGCTTCCAGAAAGGGAGAGGTGGGGCCTGCAGGTGTTATACTGAGGTGTCTGGAGCCCCGAGGGGGATGTGTGTGCATATCTCAGGGAGAGGGTATCTGTTCTGACTAATGATAAGAAAACCTTTCTTGTAACAGACCACTGTCTAACTCTGGAAGAGGTTGCTTTGTGAAATCTTGGGGAGCAAAGATGCTGTGAATTGTCACCATCACTGAATTTGCAATTTCCTCTCCTGTCTGTATCTGAGCCCCTTCTGCTCTCCTCAATGCCTGATTGCCTCTCTTAAATAAGCATCTTTTTTTTTTTGAATCAAGCTAAATTCCATGTGACTGGATGAAGGTTACTAAGGTGCGTCCTGTGAGTGGGCATCAGGAGGGGAGCTTATGGAAAGATACAGACACCACCCCATGTTCATGGAACTTCCAGACTGGTAAAGCAATAATTTCAGGAACATCAGGAGAAGTGTTTACCAGCTACAGAGGTCCTTGATTTTAATTAGAAAGAGAGAAATGGCAAGAAAATTACTGTCGCTAAGATGATGATGATGATAATTGTTATTACAGGGAGCCAACATTTATTGAATACTTACTATTGAAATCTAAGCTCTTTTCATGTATTAACTCACAGAACCAGCACAACAATGTGCTGTTGGGGGCCCTGTTCCAGAGATGAGGAAACTGCCCAAGTCACAGAGCTTGTAAGTGACAAGTCGGGATTTGACCAGGCTGATCTGAGCCCTCAGCCCGACGCTGGCACTTCTCTGTCATGCTGGCATGCCCACACATACAACTACCTAGTGGATCGAACAGTTTCGATGGCTTTCAGACCCTCAAACTGAGCATGTCCCAAATGGAACTTTGTATGAACATGTCCACACCCACTCTCCATCCTCATCCTCCTGTCATCCCACCTCCATAAAAGGCACCATTGCCCACCCCGGTGCTCTGGCTAGCACCTCCTCTCATTCCCATATCCGTTCCATCAGCTGTTAATGCTGCCACTCAAATCTCAAACCCCAAATCCACTCACTTCTCTCCACCTCTACCGCTCATACACTGGTTCTAAACACCAGCATCTCTTGCTCAGAGGTCGTAACTTCAGTTCTATGAAAGTGCTTGTAAGACAGAGTCTTTTCAGGCCTGGGCACATTTTTAAATCTCAGGTCTGTGGTATTCCAGACAGTTGCTGACAAACAAGGACTGCCGAGCACCAAGCATAGATGTAAGAATTTATCTTTCAGGCTCAGAATATGACAGAGCTTTGGCTTGGGTCATTAGCATGGGAGGATTGGAAAGGGACAGTTATTTAGGTTTTTATATATTGGAAAGTTGTCTTTTGAAATATTTTAGTAAAAGCTTTCCATGTGATTTAATTTGTCACACACACGCAAAATCACTTTCATTCTTCTCTTTATCTGAACCAGTCTCTCACACAAGTTGAGAGTGAGCTTAAAACATCTATGGGGCAATTCCTTGGAGGGCCAGTGGTTAGGATTCTGGCACTTTCATTGCCAAGGGCATGGGTTCAATCCCTGGTTAGGGAACCAAGATCCCACAGGCTGCAGGGTGGGGCCAAAAAATTAATTAAAAAAATGTCTAAAGGACCATGTTCTGCCTCTGCCTAACATCTCTCAGTGCCTTCCCAGGTACTGAGAACAGACTCCAGCTCCCCAGGCTCGGCCTGCCAGGCTACGGGGCACTGGCCCTGACCTGCTCTCCAGCACTTTCCTTCTGCCTTCACTCTCACTAGCAACTTGTCTCGCTCTTCTGTCCCTTCAACTGGCCAAGGTCCTTCCCACCTTGAGGATATTACTTGTATAGTTCCCTCTCGCTGGAATGCCCTTCCCCTGGCTCTCTGCAGGCCTGGATCCTTCTTGCTCCTCAAGTGTGAGCTTGGATGTCCTGTTCGAAGGACGTCTTCACTGACCATCTAAAGGAAGGTAAATTTCTCTCCTATCTTTATACACCTCAGCTCCAGGCCAGTTTCATCTGTCTCCTCATTAGCACCTTTCACAACCTCTGACTATTTTATTGATTTACTTTTTCACTTTTTAAAAAGCTTCTTTTTTTTTTTTTTTCTTTTTGGCACAGTTTTTAAATTAATTTTTTTTCCACCCTGTGCAGCACGTGGGACCTTCTGACCAGAGATCAAACCCATGCCCC